AAGAGAATAAAATACCTAGGAATCCAACTTACAAGGGATGTAAAGGACCTCTTCAAGGAGAACTACAAACCACTGCTCAGTGAAATAAAAGAGGACACAAACAAATGGAAGAACATACCATGCTCATGGATAGGAAGAATCAATATCATGAAAATGGCCATACTTCCCAAGGTAATTTATAGATTCAATGCCATCCCCATCAAGCTACCAATGAGTTTCTTCACAGAATTGGAAAAAACTGCTTTAAAGTTCATATGGAACCAAAAAAGGGCCCGCATCACCAAGACAATCCTAAGTCAAAAGAACAAAGCTGGAGGCATCACGCTACCTGACTTCAAACTATACTACAAGGCTACAGTAACCAAAACAGCATGGTACTGGTACCAAAACAGAGATATAGACCAATGGAACAGAACAGAGTCCTCAGAAATAATACCACACATCTACAGCCATCTGATCTTTGACAAACCTGAGAGAAACAAGAAATGGGGAAAGGATTCCCTATTTAATAAATGGTGCTGGGAAAATTGGCTAGCCATAAGTAGAAAGCTGAAACTGGATCCTTTCCTTACTCCTTATACGAAAATTAATTCAAGATGGATTAGAGACTTAAATGTTAGACCTAATACCATAAAAACCCTAGAAGAAAATCTAGGTAGTACCATTCAGGACATAGGCATGGGCAAAGACTTCATGTCTAAAACACCAAAAGCAACGGCAGCAAAAGCCAAAATTGACAAATGGGATCTGATTAAACTAAAGAGCTTCTGCACAGCAAAAGAAACTACCATCAGAGTGAACAGGCAACCTACAGAATGGGAGAAAATTTTTGCAATCTACTCATCTGACAAAGGGCTAATATCCAGAACCTATAAAGAACTCAAACAAATTTACAAGAAAAAAACAAACAACCCCATCAAAAAGTGGGTAAAGGATATGAACAGACATTTCTCAAAAGAAGACATTCATACAGCCAACAGACACATGAAAAAATGCTCATCATCACTGGCCATCAGAGAAATGCAAATCAAAACCACAATGAGATGCCATCTAGACACCAGTTAGAATGGCGATCATTAAAAAGTCAGGAAACAACAGGTGCTGGAGAGGATGTGGAGAAATAGGAACACTTTTACACTGTTGGTGAGATTGTAAACTAGTTCAACCATTATGGAAAACAGTATGGCGATTCCTCAAGGATCTAGAACTAGATGTACCATATGACCCAGCCATCCCATTACTGGGTATATACCCAAAGGATTATAAATCATGCTGCTATAAAGACACATGCACACGTATGTTTATTGCGGCACTATTCACAATAGCAAAGACTTGGAATCAACCCAAATGTCCATCAGTGACAGACTGGATTAAGAAAATGTGGCACATATACACCATGGAATACTATGCAGCCATAAAAAAGGATGAGTTTGTGTCCTTTGTAGGGACATGGATGCAGCTGGAAACCATCATTCTTAGCAAACTATCACAAGAATAGAAAACCAAACACCGCATGTTCTCACTCATAGGTGGGAACTGAACAATGAGATCACTTGGACTCGGGAAGGGGAACATCACACACCGGGGCCTATCATGGGGAGTGGGGAGAGGGGAGGGATGGCATTGGGAGTTATACCTGATGTAAATGACGAGTTGATGGGTGCTGATGAGTTGATGGGTGCAGCACACCAACATGGCACAAGTATACATATGTAACAAACCTGCACGTTATGCACATGTACCCTAGAACTTAAAGTATAATAATAATAATAATAATAATAATAATAAATAAATAAATAATAAAAAAGAAGTGACTGTTGAATTTGAATTTTATGCTTGATATGTATAAAATGTCATTTCTGCTGATCTTAAAGAGAAACACTTGACTGATATGCATAGGTTTCCCGTGTTCTTCCCCTTGAGAGGCCATAGTTGACTGCATTTGCTGCTAGCGGCTCTTATAAACTCAGTGGTTATATAGCAAAGCCTTTCCAAAGTCTTTTATTTTAGAGCTCTTTTTCAGACAGGAAATGATTATACTTTTTCTTCAACTCATTTATTCAATCATAATGATAAATATGGCTTTCACTATTCTGATGAACCAGAGCTATCATCAGTGTGAAATAATAATAGACATGGTTTAGTGAGCATCTACTATATTCCAGTCGATTAGAATTTTTTCTCTAGATTTTTGGTGACCTTCTGATTACTGTTAATTTACATGTTTTTTATTTTTCTCTACATGTCAAAGAAAAAGCAACAACATAAAAAACCCACATGCTTTTTCTTCATACTATCTATATTATTGAATGACAGACAAACATCTGTCCTTCAAGTCAAGTATGAATTAATCATAGACTCCTTTCTCTTCTTCGGCCACTGTCTTTCCTTTTTTTTTTTTAAGATGGAGTCTTACTCTGTTGCCTAGGCTGGAGTGCAGTGGTGTGATCTCGGTTCATTGCAAGCTCCATCTCCCAGGTTCAAGTGACTCTCCTGCCTCAGCCTCCCAAGTAGCTGGGATTACAGACATGCACCACCACACCTGGCTAATTTTTGTATTTTTAGTAGAGAGGGGATTTCGCCATGTTGGCCAGGCTGGTCTCAATCTCCTGACCTCAAATGATCCATCCACTTCGGTCTCCCAGTGTCTTCGTAGTTTTAAAAATTATCTTTGGAATTTGTCTTGTCTCTATTTCTAATTCATTTAATCTACTTGAAGCCTTAATCATTTATTTTCTTCTAATATGTTGAGCATCTATACCGATTTTCCTGACCCCACTTGCCTCATTCTCCAATTATTCTTCCCATAGTTATCAGCACTGAATGCTAATAATAGTACTTTGTTCATATTAGTTGTTATTAAAACTCTTCAGCTGGGTTCAGTGGCTCACGCCTGTAATACCAGCACTTTGGGAGGCCAAGGTAGACGGATCACGAGGTCAGGAGATCGAGACCATCCTGACTAACACAATGAAACCCCGTCTCTACTAAAAAAAAAAAAACACAAAAAACTAGCCGGGCGAGGTGGCGGGCACCTGTAGTACCAGCTACCCAGAAGGCTGAGGCAGGAGAATGGTGTGAACCCGGGAGGCGGAGCTTGCAGTGAGCCGATACCGCGCCACTGCACTCCAGCCTGGGCGACAGAGCCAAACTCTGTCTCAAAAAAACAAAACAAAACAAAAAAACCACTCTTCATTTATTCCTTATTATCCTCAAGGTAAGCCCAGCTTCCCAGTCATGACATACAGGACTCTCTGTGTGACCCCAATACTTAACACAGATGTGTTTCAGATTTCAGAATTTTTTGGATTTTAGAAAAGTAATACGGTTTATGCAATACACATATGACATCCTCTGCTCATTTCTGAACACTTATGGGAGTGAATGGCAGGTGCTTTTAATAATTACGCTGGGGTAAATTATGCTAGGTGTAAACTGGACCTGTCTTGGGCAAACCAGGATGTTCTTTACACAGGTTAATGTCAAGCAGGCCGGGCGCGGTGGCTCAAGCCTGTAATCCCAGCACTTTGGGAGGCCGAGGCGGGTGGATCATGAGGTCAGGAGATCAAGACCATCCTGGCTAACATGGTGAAACCCTGTCTCTACTAAAAATACAAAAAACTAGCCGGGCGTGGTGGCGGGCGCCTGTAGTCCCAGCTACTCGGAGGCTGAGGCAGGAGAATGGCGTGAACCTGGGAGGCGGAGCTTGCAGTGAGCCGAGATCGCGCCACTGCACTCCAGCCTGGGTGACACAGCGCGAGACTCCGTCTCAAAAAAAAAAAAAAAAAAAAAAGAAAAAAAAAAAAAAGAATGTCAAGCAAAGAACATTAGGGATGAAGCAATACAAGGAGAACAGATAGAGAGAAGGGAGCAATGGGTTAAGTGGAGTCCTGGAGAAATATTTGAAAAGGGAGAAAGGAACATGGCTCTTGAGGCAGGGGGGAAACCTGGAGCAGGTAGCCTCACGAATCCCAGGGAAGAGGAATTGTTTTTCTATTATTTGAGAAGCAGAGCCCCTTTAGGAGACTCCTCATCAGATAATGGTTATTCAGTGAGGGGTCATATTCTTAATTAAAAGGGCCTTTACCTTTTCTTAGAATACTATGTTTGAATGACTTTTTATGTATTAGGATATAAAAGTCTCTTTTAAGCATTTCTATTTTATAGTCATTGACCAAAATCTAATTCAGATCCAGCTTAAATCCAAAAGTCATTTCATGCTACGTTTTATCCTGAGGTTGCTAGTTATTTAGTCAAATACTGTGAGTATAATCACTACAGGCTTAGAGTAAATTTCCATGTCAAGAGGTAGAACACATTTATTCTGTAATATTGAATCCTGTAATATTGAAAATAAAAAAAATAAAAAACAGCCCTTTTTTTTTTTCTTCTATAGAAAATAAGATTTTTAAGGAAGTCAGCAGGAAAATAGAACAAGTGAATATTTTACATTCTTAGTGGTTTATGGTTGGCCGTTTTCCCCCAACATTTTGTTATGAAAAGTTAAAATGTACAGAAGAATTGAAAGTCTTATACCCACCAGCTAGATTCTTTCATTAACATGTTGCTGTATTTCCTTTATCACTGTCCATCTGTTTTACCATCTGTTTGTCCCTCTTTCCATCCATCCGTCTGTCTTTTTTTTTTGGTAAGCATTTCAAGTAAGTTGACTGGCAGTTTTTCTAAGCAGCCGTATCTTTATTTTGTTACTGTTTTTTTCCTGGATGTTGTAATTACAGTGTCAAGATATTTAATGCAGATGTTTCAGCTAACCCTTTTTCCTATTTCTAGAAATCTGAGATTGCCAATAATCCCTGACAATCTTAAATTCTTTTTTAATTCTGGTAAATAGTGTCAGACCTGACTAGAGCCCTCTTTCTCAATTGTTTTGTAATCCAGACAATTAAAACCATTAGTCATTAAAACATAATTTATAGTGGTTTTAAAGCATGACTTTCTAAATTTTAAATCAACATTTATTCATATTACGTTGTTTTCAGAGTGGAGAGATCTACAGACCAAGTCATCAAGCCGGTCAATGTAGCAGCTCTATCCAAATGGGTTGGGAAGATACCGCCAGATGTTTTACAAGACATGGCAGTGATTGCTCCTATGCTTGCCAAACTTGGATATGACCCATATGCCAACCCACCTAACTATGGAAAACCTGATCCCAAAATTCTTGAAAACACTCGAAGGGTAAGTGAGATTTTTTAAAGCAACTGAGAAAACTAGATTTGGAATTTGGGATCCGAATACTTTTTTTCTTATTTTATTTCTTGCTATTTAATGATCAGAAAATTATTTTGAATTAGACACATTTGGGCCCAGCAGCCTGGCACGGTGGCTTACGCCTGTAATCCCAGCACTTTGGGAGGCCGAGGTGGGTGGATCACAAGGTCAGGAGATTGAGACCATCCTGGCTAACACGGTGAAACCCCGTCTCTACTAAATACACAAAAGATTAGCCAGGCATGGTGGCAGGCGCCTATAGTCCCAGCTACTCAGGAGGCTGAGGCAGGAGAATGGCGTGAACCCGGGAGGCGGAACTTGCAGTGAGCAGAGATCATGCCACTGCACCCCAGCCTGGGTGACAGAGCGAGACTCCATCTCAAAAAGAAAAAGAAAAAAAAAAGAAAAATTTGGGCCCAGAATAGGGCTGACATGTGTAGTTTCAGCACTTTGGAAGGCCGAGGTGGGAGTGAGCCCAGGATTTCAAGACTAGCCTGGACAACATAGTGACACCCCATCTCTACAAAAAATATAAAAATTAGCCAGGCATGGTCACGTATGATTCTAGTCCCAGCTACTTGGGAGGCTGAGGTGGGAGGATTGCTTGAGCCTGAGAGGTCAAGGCTGCAGTGAGCTGAGACTATGCCACTGCACTGTAGCGTGGGTGACAGAGCAAGACCTTGTCTCAAAAAAAAAAAAAAAAAAAAAATGAAGAAAAATTCTATTTGTAGAATACTTTCTTATCAGAAGTCTTCCACTGCATTTTAAGGATAACTGGCTAATTGGGGATACTCCTTAGGGTATTTTGCTCAGTTTCTAGGAGTAAAACTCACTGTTGGGAGATTTATTCTCAGCCAATTACTGCAGATCTGCATAAATACTATAATTATTAGTGACCTTACTTCTGATTTCTTTCTTTCTGTAAATCTAATAGCCACTTTACTTTAAACCTTTGTTTAGATGAGGCATAATTTTTGGATACCTAAAGGCTAAACATTGGTTACACTAGAAAAATTATTAAACACTAGTCTTCTGATTAAGAGAAAGTTGCTATTAAAGTGACATTACAGTTTTTATTTTAATAAGTTATGCTCACGTCTTTACAAAATATTGTTTCGGAAAGTGCTGAAAACTCAGAGCTAATTAGATTATATAGCCTACCAGTTGAGTCTATTTCAAATCAGACCTTATATATTCTTTTCTTTATTGCAGTAAGATGTTTAACATAAAATTTACCACTCTAACATGTTTAAAGTGCACAATTCAGTGGCATTAAATACATTCACATTGTTGTGCAACTGTCACCACCATCCATCTCCAGAACATTTTTTGTCTTCCCAAACTGAAATTCTGTACCCGTACTCTTCATTCCTTAGCCCCTGTCAACGGCAGTTTTTTGTGTCACTTACATATATTTTTTGAAACTACATTTCAAATAGCACAACTGTGTTAGCGTAAGTTCACTGATAAGCTATTTGATTCCAAGGTGAAAATTCCTTGGCTTTGTCTGGTATTCTCTTGTTTATATCAATGTCCTTCCCTCCCTACAACCATATGCCATATCATCTCTTTATTCTGTCTTTTGATAACTTTAATTGACAAATTTATGCCACATTTATTTCATGAGATTAATTTCTATGTGAATTCCTTTCTCTTAGGTATTACTTTTATTTCCCTTTTTCAGTTCATCATTAGCAGCTATATGAGAAGAGCTGCCTTCTTATAAACCATCACATATGAGGGCAAATTAAAAAAATAATCACTATCCTCTTTATGCTTTTCATATATATATAAATATTTCCATTATAAAAATATAATCATTATATGAAACTTACAAAATTAAAAGGATAAGAGAATAAAAATCACCTGTAATGTTACCACCTATACACATACACATATTATTCTTTTTAAAATTTTCTTATTTATTTACACATATTTTCTTAATATTTTGATGTATTTTCTCTCCTTTGCATTATGTTAAACAAAGGTAAGATTACATATATCATCTTACCTTTATATACACACAGTTTTGTATCCAGCCCTTTTAATATTCATGAGCATTTTCCCATTGTGTGCATGCTTTTTAAACATAATTTTTGTAGTTTTATACCTTCATAGAAGCCACCTTAAATTCTTTCTGAAACACAGTAGTAAATGAATGAATAAATCAACAAACAAAATATATTTCCCTAGTAGATGTTCTATAATTGATTTTACCATTTTGTTGTTTACAGTTTTCTCTTTGACAGATTGTGCTACAGTGAACATCTTTGCACATACTCAATTTTAGGATTTTTTTTTTTTAAGGTAGGACCGATAAAAGTAGAATTAAACCAGGGTAAAGTATATGAGATTTTTAAAAGGTGTTTGATATCTATTGATATTAAAAAACAACAACAACAAAAAAAACCTTTGGGCTGGCCACAATGGCTCACGCCTGTAATCCCAGCATTTTGGGAGGCTGAGCTGGGTGGATCGCTTGAGCTTAGGAGTTCAAACCCACCTGGACAACGTGGCAAAATCCCATCTCTACAAAAAATACAAAAGTTAGCCAGGTATGGTGGCACATGCCTGTGGTTTCAGCTACTTGGGAGGCTGAGGTGAGAGGATTGCTTGAGCCTGGGATTTTGAGTTTACAGTGAGCTGAGATTGTGCCACTGCATTCCACCCTGGGTGATGGAGTGAGACCCTGTCTCAAGAAAACAAAAACAAAAAACAAACAAAAAACCTTTGAACTACCAGCACAATTGAGGTAATTTATTTTAGATTTTTGTTGGTTTTAATAGATTTCATTGATTAATGTAATTGAACATTTTTCAGTTATTAGCTACATGTATATATTCTTTTATGAACTATCTTTTAAGTTTTTCCTTTATTTATTTGAGACAGAATTTTGCTCTGTTGGCACAATCTTGGCTTACTGCAGCCTCTGTCTCCTGGGTTCAAGTGATGATTCTCTTGTCTCAGATGGAATTATAGGCACACGCTACCAAGCCTGGCTAATTTTTTTTTTTAGTTTTAGTAAAAATAGGGTTTAGTCGTGTTGGCCTGGCTGATCTCAAACTCTTGACCTCAAGTGATCTACCTGCCTTGGCCTCCCCAAGTGCTGGGGTTACAGGCATGAGCCACTCTTTCTTTCTTTCTTTTTTTTTTTTTTGAGACGGGGTCTTGTTCTTTCGCCCAGGCTGGAGTGCAGTGGCGCTATCTCGGCTCACTGCAAGCTCCACCTCCCGGGTTCACGCCATTCTCCTGCGTCAGCCTTCCAAGTAGCTGGGGCTACAGGCGCCCACCACTACGCCTGGCTAATTTTTTAAGTTTTCATTAAGAGACGGGGTTTCACTGTGTTAGCCAGAATGGTCTCGATCTCCTGACCTCATGATCCACCCACCTCGGCCTCCCAAAGTGCTGGGATTACAGGCGTGAGCCACCGTGCCCAGCCAGCATGAGCCACTCCTTAAAGTGTTATACGTATTAAAGTTTTGTGAGCTCTTTGTAGTTGGTAATTCATAGCTTTCTCCTTTGCACAATAGTGAAAGGCTTTTTTTTATTACCAAGATACATGTACAGTGCTATTTTGAAGGTTTTATAGCATTAAAAATAGCAAAATGAAGACATTATAGTTTTCTTACATGCAAATTGGCTTGGCTAGATTATCCTTTGCTTTCTTGAGTGATGGGTTGGGAAGAATGCTATGGTTTGAATCCATGTGACCAAAGAATCTATGTCATACACACTCTTGGTTTTTGAAAGGATTTCAAAATAACACACTGAAATTTAAAAACACCCACCTTTTTTTTTTTTTCCTGTCTCTGCCTATCTTTAAAGTGACAGATAATTTTGAGGAAGAAAAGATGAAGTGTGAACTATAATGGTGTTTTTGGGCCTTTTGTGGTAATGCATACAAACTGACATTCTTGTCTTGTGAAGGTAGATTTCATAAGACCTTTTTGCAAAGTAAATCCTGTGTATCTTCAATGCTTTTTTGCCTGTAATAAGTCAGATGCTAATGTATCCAGCACTGATGGTCATGAGGTTTTTATAAAGCAGTGCTTGAAAAGAGATTGTTGATTGTTAGCTATGATATGAGATGGGCCCCAGAGAAAGAGGTGGCTGGGGAAGGTGTTTTTCCTTTTTTTTTTTGAAACAGAGTCTCGCTCTGTCGCCCAGGCTGGAGTGCAGTGATGCGATCTCGGCTCAATGCAAGCTCTGCCTCCCAGGTTCACACCATTCTCCTGCCTCAGCCTCCCGAGTAGCTGGGACTACAGGCGCCCGCCACCAAGCCCGGCTAATTTTTTGTATTTTTAGTAGAGACGGGGTTTCACTGTGTTAGCCAGGATGGTCTCAATCTCCTGACCTCGTGATCCACCCGCCTCGGCCTCCAAAAGTGCTGGGATTATAGGCGTGAGCCACGGCGCCCGGCCTGGGAAGGTGTTTTTCTTAGTTATGGTGTGAGAGTGGGAGAAGAATCACATTTTAACTGAGAATTTAGAATGTGGATCTCTAGGCCTAAAAATGCTGGGTTTTTTCTTTTTTTTTTTTGTACAATTCTGGGTAGTCTGCAAGTAATAATGAGTCAGCACATTTTAGGGACATATTGCCCAATATTGAATAGATAATCATGCTTCATGGTTACTGTGACTCACATAGTAAATTGGTAATGAAATGTTAACATATTTTGTACCCTATTCCACCATAGTCTCTAATCCTAAAATTATAGCACATTTCAATAAATAGTGCTGTCTAGGTTACATCCTTAGCCTTCTTGCATAGATTCTTAACCTTTTTAGACTTAAGAACTTATTTGAGAATTTGATGAAACATGTGGATCCCCACCTCAGAAATACACACATATGAAAACACAGATTTTACCCACAATTTCAGTAGATACCTACATGTTACAAAAGTCCATCAGATTAAGGACTCCTATTACCCACAATTTCAGTGGATGCATAGATGTGCCAGAAGCC